ATGTTTTTGGGAGAAGTATCCCGCAGCTTCTCTTTGGCATCTTGAATGTGTCGTTGGAAGTGCTCATGTTGCGAACCGCGCTGGCAGGGCTGTGCGATGTGAATCTTCACGTGCAGATTCGTGGCAAGCGCGCTTGGTGTGACTTCACTTTGCCGATTTTGTGGCAGGTGCCGCCCTTTGTGCATCTCGGGCCGCAGGTTTCGCAGCAGGCGCAGCATTTCGGTCCTTGAAGTATAGATTTCGTGGCAGGTGCCCCCAGCGCGTTGTGAACATCAAAGTGCGGTGTTTGTGGCAGGCGCAAGAGCGAACCTCACGCAACAATTTGTGCACCTCAAAGTGCGCCTATCTCTCTCTCTCTCTCCACAGCTGTGCTTTCATGTGTTTGCTCACATATGTGTGCTCTCATGTGTGTGTGTGAAACCCTTGATTGGAATCACAGGGAGCCTTTTGGTTTCATTGGCAGGGGGCACAGGCTCGTGGACACCTGTGCCAACGAAGCTGTTCCACGAGCTGGGAAGCGGAGACTGATCACCTCCGTGTGCCTGCTGAAGTTTGTGGCGTTTGGTAACTATGCTCTCCTCTAGAAGTCAGGCTGGCTACGTAACGCCAGGTCTGCAGACAAGTACTCGTCGCTCGAGCCGTTCGAGTCTTCCGAACTTTGAGACTTTGGCCTTTGAACTGCATGCGATGGTTCCCTGGGTGTTCAGACCTCCTTATTTACTTTGTCCTGGTATCTTAGGTTTTTTACTTGCGCTGGCGTGTGGCAACCCGCAACTTGTTTCACACGCGTTTCCCAAATGTGTTTGGCCTCGCACCAGCCCGGGGTGAGCCCAGTGGTGAGCCCGAGGAGCCCCCCCGGTGGCCCTGTTGAACGGGGTTTGTCCCATTCTCCCGGCCGGAGAGAAGAGTAGCTCGCAGTGAGCGCAGGAGGCTTATGCCAAACGTCAACTAAGACGCAGCCAATGGCGCTGCGAGGTGTCCACAGCGAACTAGAGTAATCTTGGCATGGCAAGAGTCTGCCGCAGCGGCCGTAGCTTACTCAAGACCCAGTGCATGGGGTCTGTCGCCTTCACTTGGTTCCGCCTTTCATCCTTTCTTCCCCCCTCCACACACACTTAGACAATTGGTTTGCTGTTACATCAATTCCCCGAGGAAAT